GAATAACATGTTTTTTTCAAAATGTCTTTTTTTGTTTGTCTCAAAAAATGCTAAACAATTTCATTTGTGTACAGTGTTGCATGACTGTGCAATTGTCATTCAAAGTGAGACAGCTCTGATAGCTGAAAATTGGCCTGGGCAGGAAGGGGGTGAAAGTGCCCGGTATTGAAGTGGTTAATACACAGAAAGAGTTCTAGTTATGTACATTATACAGGAGTTATATAGTGCCAACAGTTATACAGGAGTTATATAGTGCCAACAGTTTTTGTGCAGAGCTTTACAATATAAAAGGAGACGGGAACTCGAGGGTTAGAAAGGCCCTGCTCATGAGAGCTTACAATCTAATGGGGGGGGGGGACACAAACATTTATTTAACTTTGGAAAGGACTGGACCTTTAAGCATCTGGCCAGCCCATGTCAGCGGCGTCACCTCAGCTTATTAGTGTCTTCGGTGGGTGCTGTCTGTGGCCGCTATTTATAGCCGTGCTTTCACAGAGAGCTTTGGTCCCGTGCTTGACTAGCACACGCTAGGCCCTATTTTCAGCACCTGAATGGACACGATGGTCATGACAGGTACCTGTGTGTCCTACAGCACGTAGCACCCCGGGGTAACTAGAGACACTGGAAGAGGCCAACATACTATGAGGAGACGATTGTGAGGTAAGGTGCCGCAGAAAGTTCCTTCAGAAGGGGTTTATGTCATTCTAGAACATGTTTTAATGTGACCTATCTAACATTGGAGCAGTGAGGACATCAGGAGAACTTCAGGAATCAATGTCTGGGCTTCACATTTCTGATTCTACCGCCCGTTCGATCATAGTTTTTAAAAAAATCAACTAGTGATTCTAAAGCTACAACTCCTGAGGGAGCAAATTAGCCGCGAATTTAGAGGCACATGAATATCAGTCTGCTTCTCATTTAGTAGAGAATATACAACCTTTTTTTTAATTTACGACCAGGAGTCCAGGAGTCAGGACAGTCAACAGTTTTGCAAAGGTCTGGGACAGATTTACCACTGGAGATGTGATGGATTTTCGCGCGCAGTCATTGGGCAAGTTTTATATTGCCGTAGTGCTACTTTGGAGTTTGGGGGGGGGGAGATTTTACGATTTTATGAACCAAGCTGCAATCCTATAGTAAATCTGTCTCTTATGTGTCTCATAATCTGTCTCACTCCTGCTTAGCATTGCCCTGCTGTGTGACAGAATTGATAAATCTTTCCCAGTGTGCATTGAGCAGTCGAGAATTTCCAATCGGGTGTCTGCATTCAGCAGTCGCCTAATTCCCAATTGGCTGCTATGAATTTCAGCACTTCTGGTATCTTGCATTGTGTGAGTAATCCACATAACATATATGCGGCAGCAAAAGAGTGGGATTTAGTGGACACATGCCGCACATATGTGTCACTGGGTGGCTGATGTTTTTGTGCTGAAAGCTGTCAAAGACAGCTGTAGATCTGGACTATCAGTGACTGGCTCCTGGTCATGTGACCACTTTAACAGCCAATCCTTCCTGCCCCCCAGGTGGTCAGAACTTTTCAAAGAGAAGCTGGAGCGGGCGGGAAGGGGTTAAAAGTCAATCCTTGTTTGTATGTAATAGGTAACAATGTTTTTTTGAAATGTTCATTTCAGTAAAATAATGTTAACAAGATTTATTTTGAATCCCCAGGAATCTAAGGATTCATAATGTGCAAAGAGCTGATTGTTTAACCCCTTGCTGACACTGAGAGCTGACATTATCGGGAGTCCGTCCTACCAACTGTGAGCAGTCAGTGACAGTGCCTGATCACAGATTTGGGTATGCCAATGGAATGCCCTCTAGATCAAGACAGCAAGGCACACACTGTATATAGAGCAGCCAGACATCAAGGTCCATCTGCCCTACTGCCGCATATATATATTGCTGTCATAAAGGGGTTAAAATAACAGGCGATATCCTCTATGCCAGGGGTACTGATATAAAATTGATGAGGGGTCCGGTCAGTAAAATGTTCTTCCAGTGGAGGTCCAAGTGTCATGTTGGTGCTATGACTCAGATCCTTCACATTGCAGCCTGCCTTGCACATCACAGTTCTTCCCCCCCCACCCCCATTCTCCCCTTTTACATCACAGACCACTCCATCACAGACCCCCAACCGCCATCACAGACCCCCCACCCTCATCACACCCCCCCATCACTGACATCCCATCACAGACCACCCCCCTATCACCAACTGCTCCATCACAGATTGTCCCATCACAGACCCCCCTCATTACAGATCCCCCTCCATCACAGAACCCTCAGCACAGACCCCCCCCCCCCCATCACAGACACCCCATCAAAGAACTCTCATCATAACAGACTCCCCCTCAGCACAGATTGCCCAATCACAATCCTCCCTGCATTTTACAGATTCCTGTTCCTTTCATAACATTGCAGCACTCCCCCCCCCCCCCCCCCCCCCACTCACACTGTCCTACTTTATTCACACAAGATGCATGGCAGGTCTGGACATAGGGTGGGACTTTTCATGTTAAAGGTGGGTAAATGATTGCTTGCACTGCCTAGCAATTAATCACCAACAACCAATCACTCGCTTTCTAACATGAAAATCCCGCCCTATGTCCAGACCTGCCATGCTTATCATCTTGAGTGAATAAGGTGGGGGGGGGGGGGGTAGTGCTGCTCAAGTATGAAAGGGACCAGGGGCGGACTGACAACTCATGGGCCCCCGGGCAATAGGGGATCATGGGGCCCCTGTGTCTTTGCCCAAACTCAAAAAAGCCTATGAAAAAGGTACCAGGGGCATCTCATGGGGCCCCTACTGACCCTGGACCCTCGGGCAGTGCCTGAGTTTCCAAATGGTCAGTCCGCCCCTGAAAGGGACAGACCTGCTGCACCTCAAATGGTGTACCCTTCCTTGAGGATAATAGCGGCAGTAGCAGGCGGGCAGGTGAGCTGGCAGTGGGGAGAGGATATTCAGGCAACTATTTGGTGAGGCTGTGGTCTGGAAAGGAATGTTTCTGGGTCTGGATCTGAACCGCGGTCCACCATTTAATGATGCCTGCTCTATGCAATACAGTACTGCCTAATACTTGGTGCAATAAAACAGTGAATGGAGACTAGGGGCGGACTGATCATTTGGAAACTCGGGCACTGCCCGAGGGCCCGGGGTCAGTAGGGGGCCCCATGAGATGCCCCTGGTACCTTTTTCATAGACTTTTTTGAGTTTGGGCAAGGATACAGGGGCCCCATGATCCCCTATTGCCCGGGGGCCCCATGAGTTGTCAGTCCACCCCTGATGGAGACCAACAGATCCTTGATGTGACACCACTCAGGTGTTTCCAGGAAATTAGATGCCACTCTGATGTGCTTCAGCTGAAATCAGCTGTCTTTCTGAAGGATGGATTGCAAACATGTAGTCGTCTATCTGTCAGATTCTCTGCCATCTTTGAGGAAGATACCTGTCTGTATGTATACAACAGGCAGGGGAAGGGAGTCACTGCTAGCTGGGACACCCGTTTCTCTGTGTATTATTGCACCATGTATCGGGCAGTTTGTATACAGGATACTGTCTGTTATTTTATTCAGAAGTTTGCACAATACTGATCCTTAGACCCCCCATGAATGTAAATTTGTACATTTGAACAGATTAATCACAAAGCATTTTCTATCTGGGTGTACTTCAATTCTGGGATAATGTGTGATACAAGCAAGTTACTTTTTATCTTGTTTACGTACAATTACTTTTAGGAACATTTCAAGAAAATATGTTAGCTGATCTTTTTACAAAAGTGAACGCTGAAGGATACATTAAAGTGACATTAAACCATATGCTTATTCTTCAAAAATAATCCATACACATCAATACTTAAAGGAGAAGTACAGTCAAAGCTCTTTTGGCTGTACTTCTCCTGTGGATCACAGGAGTGCAGTTCGTTCTGCACTCCTGTGACCTGCTTTCAACTGACAGTGGGCTGAAGCCCGTTGTCAGCTGACATCACTCAGCCGGTCCAGGCTGGGGAAAGTTCCCGACTTCAAGGTTGGGATCCACCCTACAGCCTGTGAGTGCGCACGGGGGGGGGGGGGCAGAGCAGACAGCAGTGACTGACTGACTGACAGTCAGTACTCTTTGCTCAGAGAGGCTGAGCAGTCATGTGATTGCTGAGGTCTCATACTTAGAGCCGGTGGGGGACCGATGCTGCAGCCACCTAAGTAAGTATAATTGGGGGGAAAAAAGCAATTCCACACTTTTCTTTTAATACCCCTGTAATCTATTTTTCATTAAATCCCTTCTTACTGTGTTTTTCTGCCTCCATGTGGTGGCCACCATGAGCTCCAGAACCTCTCCTTTTCCCTCTCATTTTTGTTTGTTTGGTACAAGCAGTGCACGGTAGTTGTGGTCATGTGCACTGCTTGATGCACACTACACATTCCCATAATCCTAGTCCATCTCAGGAGTGAGAAAGAGAGGGTGGCTACGTTCCTACATACAGTGGGACCAGGGAGAATGATTGTAGTCACCCTCTACCAGGAAGTTGGATCTCACTAGCAAAGAAAGAAAGAGAATTGGAGGAGGCTGAGAGTAATAGAAGGGACTTTTTAAAGTTAAGAGTTAAAGCATAATTCCGTGCCCGCATTGCATGGGTTAACTGCTTGCATTGTCTAAGGGCGCACCAAAAGGCTATACTTACCCGATCCTTCGATCCTCTGGAAAACCATGCTCCCCCACATTCAGTGGTGGACTGTTCTTGCCGTCATCATATCTAGAGCCTTGAGCATATCTATGGGCTTGATGACGTCAGGAACAGTCCATTCACAAGGACCGCTAGACCACGGGGGGGCAGAGGTGGGGACTGGTCTTGCACTCGGAGGATCGGCAGATTAGGTAAGTATATCTCCGCTCTGAAATACCCTAGACAAGGGGTGTTAAACTGGCAGCCCTCCAGCTGTTGCGAAACTACAAGTCCCATTATGCCTCTACCTTTTGGACTCTTGCTTGTAACTGTCAATCTTTCAGTGCCTCATGGGACTTGTAGTTTGGAAACAGCTGGAGGGCCGCCAGTTTGACACCTGTGCCCTAGACTAAAATGAGCAGTTGGCCCATACAGCACAAGCACAGCCCCACTGCATGGGAAAAAAAAATTTTACCCGGAGTTTTACTTTAGGTATAACTATAAGCAACTTTTTTTTAGTTTTGGATAGAGTGGAGAGGGCTTAGAACACCTGTCAGGTTTGTATTTCTGTTTGTGTCCCTGTTAGGTGGGATCACCCTCTCTATTTGTCCTGGGACCGAGCCTGGCATCGAAAGTGAAAGTAATTCCCAGAACAGGAATAGAGGGGCATCCTCCAATAGGGACACTAGTGCTGGTGCCAACTCCCAAGAGGACACTGACAGGGATTATAACCCTCTATCCAAAATTTAAAAAAAAAGTTTTGCCTGTATTTCCACATTAACCACTTGCCCTCCAGAAGATTTACCCCCCCCCCCCCCCCCCCCCTTCCTGACCAGACCATTTTTTTTAAATATGGCGCTGCGTGGTCATGCAACGCTGTACATAAATGAAATTTATGTATTTTTTTCCCACAAATAGAGCTTTCTTTCGGTGGTATTAAACTAATATAAACAACAAAAGAGTGACAGTTTTGAAAAAAAAAACATTTTGACTTTTTGCTATAAAATAAGATTTTGTCATAAATTTAGGCCAAAATGTATTCTGCAATATGTCTTTACTGAAACAAAAAAATCCAAATACGTGTATATTAATTGGTTTACATGAAAGTTATAGCATCTACAAATGGCGGCGAATATATATATATATATATATATATATATATATATATATATATATATATATTGGAATTTTTTTTTTCTATACTACTAATGGCAGCGATCAGCTGCTTATAGCGGGACTGTGGTGGACAATCTGACACTGGGTGGGAACTGACTAACTGCCACTGACATCTTTAGTGACACTAATACCGTGATCAGTGCTAATTAAAAGCACTGACACTGTACTAATGAGACTGGGCAGGAAGGAATTAACATCTGGTGCAGTCAAAGGGTTAACTGTGTGTTAGAGAGTGTTTTTTATTGTGAACTTTGTGCTGTTTTACTAAGCAGACCTGCTGCTTTCTATATCTCTGCTGTGCAAAGAGATACAAAGTAGCACATCCATGCTGACAGGAGAGAGATCTGTATTGTTTACACACAGATCTCTCCCCTCAGCTTCCCCGATGATCACCAAGTCCCAGCCGAAAATCACCATCGATCTCCAAGTCACAGCTGAAAATTGGCGGCTGAGACCCAGTGATTGACATCCTTAGGAGCTAATAGTAGCGCAGTTTTTAATTGATTTTGCTCAACGAAGCAACCCTGTAGCAGTACGTCTGTGGGGCTATGGGGCGGCGGGCAAGTGGTTAAGAATACATACTTGAGTAGATTTTTTTTGGATTAGAGCAGGGGTGTCAAACTGGCGGCCCTCCAGCTGTTGCGAAACTACAAGTCCCATCATGCCTCTGCCTTTGGGAGTCATGCTTGTAACTGTCAACCTTGCAATGCCTCATGGGACTTGTAGTTTGGCAACAGCTGGAGGGCGGCCAGTTTGACACCCGTGGATTAGAGTTTAGTGTTGTTTTTATTAGGGACTATTTTTGGAGTTCTATTATCACTCCGCTGCTACTGAACACCATTGAGTATGTTTTCTAAATTGCACACTGAATAATATTTGTCTAGAAGATTGTCTGTATGTGTTGGTGTATTTATCCTGCTGTGAAAGAACGCTTACAACACCGATTATAAGTGAACCGCTGCATGCAAGTATGGCCTGAGACAAATTATTTCGGACTTTAATAATATATGAGGATAAACTTGTAAAACAGAGCAAAAGAATAAAACCATATCAAAGGGAAATAATCCCATGCCAAGAAACAAGCAGATAGTGTTCATGAAGGATTTGTTCCCCCTCAGCAAACCTCAAGTGTCTGGAACTGACTCTGCATGCTGTGACTATTCCAAGGTCATGAAGGACCTGAGAGATAGACAGACTCATATTAACCCTTGCTGTGTATGAACGTATTAGTAAACTAGGTCCTGGTAGACTGGTTATGTGTCCTGACACTATTTTGGACTCTACTCTCTATTACATTTTTTGTCTTTAGAAATGGATATGTTCAGGCAGTCATGTTGACTTCAGGTGGGATTTTTGTAAAGACCTCTCATTGAGCCCACCCTGACCTGGACCTGATAAGATAAAGGATTTTTTTTCCAGCTGGAGCAAATTGGATCATACTTTGCTGGGGTTTTTTTGCCTTCCTCTGGATAACTGTGGGTGTAGGATTATAACTTTTTTTTTTTTTTGAACTGGATGGACTTTTGTCAGCCAAACTATGTAACTATATGTGTAATCCACACATGGAGAAACCATATCTTCACGCAGGTGTCCGTGCAGAGCAGGGTGTCTGTGAAGGCGATGTTGATCTCTTTAACATTCCAGAAGCACAAAACCAGAACAGATTTCTATATGGGCCATTTATCGAAATTAGATGCACATCTATTGCAAATCAGATTGTTTGTGAGGCTACATTCACACGGGTGTATGGGTGTGGATAATTTGCTGCGTTCAGAGGCGGCTACACGCTGTCTCTGGACACAGCAACACCCTGTGCAATGCTGCATACAAATGGGCTGATTAGCTGCAGACAGTTTGTTTGTGGCCAGAGCTCCACATAAACACCGACTCTGGGTGCACACTTGCCGGGAGGCTCTATTCTCATGTTACCGAACAGCAACACCATCCATTGATTTGTACAAAACGAGTCACCAAACGTGACAGCTGCTGGTCACACACAGTATGTTCAGGAAGCATTTAGTACCACCGGCCAGAATCCACTGATTGTTGCCTGTGGCCACCTCTGGCCATCTCCATGTGCCTGTGTAAATGTAGCCTAACAGTTTTTTGCATATTTCTGACCTCTGATCCTGGACACCCTCCGCAACCATGACAGGTTTGCAAATGTATGTGACAGAATTATAATGTAGATGAGGATTTTTACTTATAAAATAAGCATAATAAAAACATGGTCAGGGGCAAGTTTTACATTGAGACAGACCTATGTAAAGCCCCACTGTCAGGGATCCCCTCGGTCTCCGCCGCGATGGTCCCGGCGCAGGCGCAGTGTGCCGCCCTGTGCTGGGACTCGAGCATTAGGTCCGGGCCGGCCGCGGCGTTCGAGTTCGCGCATGCGCAGTAGAAGCCGCGGCCGCCCGCTGGGCACCAATGGCAGCGCAGGGCGGGATATTTAAATGGCCCTGAGCTGTCATTCAGTGCCTTCTGGTCTTACCTGTATCCTGTATCTGCGAACCTGTGAATAGTAAGTTGCTGACCCGGATTGTGCTTGACCTTGCTGTATTTCTCCTGCCCTGACCCTTGCTTTGCCTGACCTCTCTCTTGAATGCCCCCTATTGGATCTGACCTGCTGTTGCTGACCTGGCGTGTGACCCGACTATTCTCTGCCCGCTGCCTTGTACCATACCATCCTCCCTGTTACCGACCCGGCTTGTCTGACCCCGCACCTGCTCAGCCATCCATCCATCCGTCCATCCCTCCCAGTGGGGTCTCCTGACCTCCTCATATCAGGCTCTTCCCCGCAGGAGCCCTCGGCGAATACCACTACCACTAACGGGTTTGCCCAGTAGCCACGACCTGGTCTCGGGGGGCTCCAAGTCCATCCCCACCATCAGGGGCCCTGGTGAACAAGCCCCTGGGACTTAGACTCCGTGCTCTGGAAACACCTATTTAGTGGAGTGCTAGTGGTACCGCCGGGGGTCCCTTACAGTACCAGAAGGCCATGACGGAGCCTCGAGGAGGACCCTCCCCGCTGGAGGAAGTTTGTAGGCACCTGGCTTCCTTGACGCAAGCGGTAAACGTATTACAGGACAGGTGTTTGCAGATTGAAAATCGGTTCCAGGCCTGCACGATATCTGCCCCTGCACCACAGGCCCCGACCCCCGCACCTCCGCCCGTAGCGGCCCCTGGGCCTGCTTCAGGGGTTCCCGCATCACTTCCTATGACCGAACCCCGGGTACCCCTACCGGAGCGTTTTCACGGGGACCGCACACGCTTCAGGTCGTTCCGTGAATCCTGCCTTCTCTATTTTGAGTTGCAACCTCGTACTTTTTTGACGGAATCGGTAAAGGTGGGGTTTGTCATCTCCCTCCTGCAGGGTGAACCCCAAGACTGGGCCCACCGACTGAGAGGGAACAATGACCCCCACCTAGGCTCAGTTAACATTTTTTTTGACGCAATGGCCATCTTATATGATGACCCACAGCGGGCAGCTTCGGCCGAAGCTACCATTTACACACTCCGGCAGGGCCGACGGGCGGCGGAGGAGTACGCCTCTGACTTTAAGCGTTGGATGGGGGACACACGCTGGAACGAGTTTGCCCTTGTGCACCAGTTCCGCATGGGCCTGTCAGAGGCCCTGACAGACGAGCTCGCCGGGTAGAAATGCCTGAGGCGCTTGAAGACTTAATTGCACTAACCATCAAGATTGACCGAAGACTGCGGGAACGCAGGTTTGAGAGGTCCGGTCAGGGTCGAGGAGGTTCCTGGGGGTCTTTCCAGGGTCACAGCCAATCCACTAGGCCACAGTTCCTGAACCCACCACCGGAGGATGCTCCTGAACCCATGCAGCTAGGCCTGGCGCGACCTAAGCTATCTCCAGAGGAACGCCAGCGCAGACGCTCCCAGAACCTATGCCTCTACTGTGATGAAGCTGGTCACATGGTACGATCCTGCCCGCAGAAACTGAGTAAGTGCACCTCTTCTTCCTTATCTGTTGGCGATGTTCATTCTTCCCAATACTTAGTTGTACCCCTCTCCTTTCAGCTGCCAGAAAGGACCGTGGAAGTGACAGCCATTATTGACTCGGGGGCATGCAGCTGTTTTGTAGATATTAATTTTGCTCACCAGCAGGGTATTCCCCTCCAACCAAAAGAAAAGGGGTTCAACATATTTCTGGCCGATGGGTCCCGGATAAGATCAGGGGTGGTTAACCAGGAGACCCCTTCCATTTCTACCACCATTGCTAGCCAACACCAGGAACTCCTCCGCTTGGATGCCATTGCATCACCCCTTTTTCCAGTCATTCTGGGGGCTTCCGTGGTTACGGGCTCATAACCCCCAGATTGACTGGGAAACCAGGGTAGTCTCGTTCCCTTCCTCATACTGTCGGGAACACTGCCGCACTTCGGGCCCGGGGGTTCCCCAGGTCCTTGTGTGCTCAGAGGGGGATGCCGAATTAAGGCAGGTCATTCCGGCAGCCTACCATGAATTCCTTGATGTATTCAGTAAACGGGGAGCAGATACTCTACCCCCCCACCGCCCGTATGACTGTCCCATCGACCTGTTACCTGGCTCAGAGATCCCTTTCGGGCGGATCTTCCCCCTTTCGGAGCTCGAATTGGGGCCCTTAGGGAATACATTGAGGACAGCCTGCAGAAGGGATTCATCCGCCCCTCTACCTCTCCAGCAGGGGCAGGGATTTTCTTTGTAGAAAAAAAGGACAAGACCTTGAGACCGTGTATTGATTACCGGGAATTGAATAGAGTTACAATCAAAAACCGTTACCCCCTGCCGTTGGTACCAGAATTATTCCAGAGTTTAAAGGCGGCAGTGGTGTTCACAAAACTGGACTTAAGGGGAGCGTACAACCTGGTTCGCATAAGGGAGGGGGACGAGTGGAAAACGGCATTCCGCACCCGCTTCGGCCACTTCGAGTATCTGGTCATGCCGTTCGGTCTGTGCAATGCACCCGCCACCTTCCAACACTTTGTGAACGACATTTTTAGGGATTTCCTGGATGTCTTTGTTATAGTCTACTTAGACGATATTTTGATTTTTTCACCTTCTCTGGGGGGGCACAGGGTTCACGTAGCAAAGGTATTAGGGCGGTTGCGGCAGCATGGCTTATACGCCAAAGCTGACAAATGTTGCTTTGAACAGTCTAGTATTACTTTTCTGGGTCTGATTATCTCCACCGCGGGGGTCGCGATGGACCCTCAGAAAGTCTCTGCAATACTGGATTGGCCTGAACCCACAGACAGGAAGGGCGTCCAACGGTTTGTCGGGTTCGCAAACTTTTACCCGCAAGTTCATCAAGAACTTCTCGGGTCTGGTCTCCCCCATTACTCAGCTAACCAAGCTTGGAACTCGATTCAGGTGGACGCCAGAGGTGCAGGAAGCTTTTGAAGCTTTGAAGAAACTATTCACTTCGGCACCCATCCTGGGTCACCCCGATGCCGCCTTACCCTACATCTTGGAGGTAGATGCGTCAGAGAATGCGGTAGGTTCCATCCTGTCCCAGCGAAAGGGCACCAGGGAATTGCTCCACCCTGTGGCATTCTTCTCACGGAAACTCACCCCGGCGGAAAGGAACTACGATATCGGTGATCGTGAACTTCTGGCGATTAAGACAGCGTTAGAGGAATGGAGGTACCTGCTGGAAGGTGCCTCACACCCCATCTTAATATTTACGGATCATAAGAATCTGGAGTACCTGAGGACCGCCAAACGCTTACGCCCACGACAGGCGAGATGGGCACTGTTCTTCTCAAGATTCAATTTCCACATTACATACAGGCCGGGATCAAAGAATACGAAGCCAGATGCGTTGTCACGAATGTACGAGGACGCCAAGGAGGCCCCAGCGCCCGACACTATCCTGTCTTCAGGAAACTTCTTGGCGCTCCAGACGGACCTTCGTTCCAAGATAATGGAGGCGTCCACGGCCTTATCCATCCCAGCCGGGGTGCCCCTCCAGAACAAGGGGGGACTCCTGTGGAAGGAAGATCGGATTGTGGTGCCAGAGGGAATCCGAACTCTGGTCTTGGGCCATTGCCATGACCACCCGATGGCAGGGCACTTTGGGTCGGCCAAGACCTTAGAACTCCTCCGACGCTCCTTCTGGTGGCCGGACATGGCAAAAGACTGCAAACACTACGTCAACTCCTGCATCACCTGCCAGAGGAACAAACCATCAAGGTGCAAGGCTTGGGGTCTTCTGCGGCCTTTACCAATTCCCGAACGGCCTTGGCAGAAAATTTCGATGGATTTCATAGTCGAGCTCCCACCTTCACGGGACCACACAGCAATTCTTGTGGCCGTGGACCGTTTATCTAAGATGGCCCACTTTATACCATTAAGGAAGACTCCGTCGGCAGCCGAAACTGCGCGAGTATTCATTCGAGAGATTGTAAGACTGCACGGGGTCCCTGAAGACATCGTCTCTGACCGAGGGGTTCAGTTTACCTCAAGATTTTGGAGGGCTCTGTGTAAAGCTCTGAACATCCAACTGTCCCTCTCTTCTGCATTTCACCCTCAGTCCAACGGACAGACCGAGAGAACCAACCAGACTCTGGAGCAGTACCTGCGCTGCTATACATCTTTTGCCCAGGATGACTGGATACCACTTCTACCCTTGGCGGAATTCGCGTACAACAACGCGTGCCATTCGGCAACGGGGCAGTCCCCGTTCTTCTCCAATTGTGGGTTTTCACCCTACCTTCCTCCCGGACTTGGTCCCGGAATGCCCAATTCCGGCAACGCAGGATACATTGACGTTCTTCTCCTCGAACAACAAGAAGCTACAGGAAGCCCTAATTCGGGCCCAAGATGACTACAAGAGGGCATTCAACAAGAGACGAAGGGGAGATCTGGTGTTGCGACCGGTGAGAAGGTTTGGTTGTCTACTTCTAACTTAAGGATGCTTTGCCCTTCAAAGAAATTAGGCCTAAATTTATAGGACCCTTTTGCGTTAAGCGGGATGGTCAACGAGGTGGCCTACGAACTTGTCCTCCCTGACACACTCAAGATCCACCCAGTCTTCCATGTGTCCCTGCTGAAGCCAGTAGTCCCGGATACCTTCCCTGAACGAGAATCTGGGCCTCCGCAGGCCATATCGGTAGAAGGGGAAGAGGAATTTGAGGTGGAATCAATCTTGAAGTGCCGAAGGAGGGGGGGCCAGACCCAATTCCTAATCAAATGGAAGGGCTATGGCCCTGAGGATAATTCTTGGGAACCTGCCCATAATGTCCATGCACTAGACTTGTCCGGAGGTTCTTTCGCCATCACCCGTGGTGGAGAGATCGGGTGGGCAATGTCAGGGATCCCCTCGGTCTCCGCCGCGATGGTCCCGGCGCAGGCGCAGTGTGCCGCCCTGTGCTGGGACTCGAGCATTAGGTCCGGGCCGGCCGCGGCGTTCGAGTTCGCGCATGCACAGTAGAAGCCGTGGCCGCCCGCTGGGCACCAATGGCAGCGCAGGGCGGGATATTTAAATGGCCCTGAGCTGTCATTCAGTGCCTTCTGGTCTTACTGTATCCTGTATCTGCGAACCTGTGAATAGTAAGTTGCTGACCCGGATTGTGCTTGACCTTGCTGTATTTCTCCTGCCCTGACCCTTGCTTTGCCTGACTCTCTCTTGAATGCCCCCTATTGGATCTGACCTGCTTTTGCTGACCTGGCGTGTGACCCGACTATTCTCTGCCCGCTGCCTTGTACCATACCGTCCTCCCTGTTACCGACCCGGCTTGTCTGACCCCGCACCTGCTCAGCCATCCATCCATCCATCCGTCCATCCCTCCCAGTGGGGTCTCCTGACCTCCTCATATCAGGCTCTTCCCCGCAGGAGCCCTCGGCGAATACCACTACCACTAACTGGTTTGCCCAGTAGCCACGACCTGGTCTCGGGGGGCTCCAAGTCCATCCCCACCATCAGGGGCCCTGGTGAACAAGCCCCCTGGGACTTAGACTCCGTGCTCTGGAAACACCTATTTAGTGGAGTGCTAGTGGTACCGCCGGGCGGTCCCTTACACCCACTCTGGGAAACATAAAGCATATCCATTGTAGTGGGAAGGTGCAGGGTTATTTGCTCGTTTAGGTCTAGGGGACTTAAAGTGGTTGTAAACCTCAGACATGAAATATGAACAAAGTATATCCCTCTATAGCAGGGTTGTCAAACTGGCCCTCCAGCTGTTGTGAAACTACAAGTCCATCATGCCTCTGCCTTTGGGAGTCATGCTTGTACCTGTCAATTTTGCAATGCTTCATGGGACTTGTAGTTTGGCAGCAGCTGGAGGGCCCCCAGTTTGATCCTGTGCTCTATAGTGTGTACTTGTCTCAATTAAGAGCACTACGTGTAATTTTCTGTCTGCTGCTTTGTTCCTCTGCTATCAGCATGGATCACGCTGACAGTTTCTCCTGACACCAAGAGGAAAAATGGTGACAGGGGAGGGAACTCCAGCAGATTGACAGCCTCAGCTTTTTTCCTGTGTGCTGTGTGAGGGGGGTGTGTCTCTGCCCTCCAATCAGCTCTCAGAGCTCCCCTCACTGATCTCTGCCGAGTGCTATGCTGGGTAAACACTATCAATTTTTGTTCACTCAATCCAGCAGCCATTCAGCTGGCTTCTGTCGGAAAGGCTGGTGTACACACGGGCTGATTGTCAGCTGGTTTCTGTTGAACCGGCCGATATTCGGCTCGTGTGTGTACGGGGCTTAACTTTCAGTTGTCTGTCTCTTTTTTCTGAACTCTCAGACAAACCTTTAAATTTGAACTGATATAGAGGAGGGGAGACTGCAGATAGACAGGTACAATTTATGTAGGAGTATTTGTTTCATCTCTTTTATCACCCGAGGGCAGCGCCATGGATAAGGGGGTACCACTGGTCCTCCTGTATGGAGCCCAGGCCAGCAGGGGGGCTCAGGCAGCCGTGTAAATTGCATATGGGCAGGGAGTGTGATCAGCACGGCTGGGGTGCAATTACTGAAACTGATCCCCTGTATGGATCTCTGCCGCAGCACCTGAAAGCTGGCTTATTGTCCTCTCCCTCTTCCAGCTTGTAGCTGCTGTAGAAAGAGCCATACAGGGGATCTGTTCCAATTGCCCCCACCCCCCCAAGCTGCACTGATCAGCCCTCCCTGTGCACCATAAGTTTCACACCCTGCTGCCCAGACCCCACTGGGTACCCCCCTACTCCCGCAGTGATGCCGGCTTCCCTCCTCTCTTTCCCATCAGCAGCTACAAGTATATTTAGGATCCTTCAGGATGGAGAGTGGGGGAAGTGTATGGTAATATGTCACATTTACCTGCTGGTGGGGGCCCCCTACTGACCCCGGGCCCTCGGGCAGTGCCCGAGTTTCCAAATGGTCAGTCCGCCCCTGTGTAAGGGTTTACAAAAACCTTAAAGTAGATTTACTTACCGGATCCACAGTGCTGCTAGACCATTCCCCACAACATCTTCTCCCCTACATTCCAGTGGCTTAAGATCCTGACATCATCAAGACCAAAGCAGGGTTTATAGCCTTGGACTGGATGTGATGACACCAAAGGACAGTCCATTGCCAAAGTGTGAGGTAGCACCATCTGCTGGGGGAGACAAGGATCAGATAAGTTAGAGTGCTTCATCTCTCCCCTTGACTAAATGAGCCTCTAACCCTAGCAGTGTGGGCGTAGTCCCACTGCATGGGATCATTTTAGAATTTCCTGGAGGAGGCAAAAAGTGCAACTTTGGACTGCTAAGTCTTGACCATTTAGTGGTCATGCTTTCTTGACTTTTCCCAAATCAATTTTGATGGGCCTGGCACAAAAATTCACCACACTCAAGGGTATATTTGAGAAGTTTATTGAAGGTAAAGATTCACAGGTTAAAGGAAAACCAGCGCATTTCGGGAGAATTGCTTCCCCCTTCCTCAGGGCTGTAAACATGGATGTGATTGCATAGTTACATAGTTAGTCTGGCTGAAAAAAGACAAAAGTCCATATAGTTCAACCATAACAAAAAAAAAAGTTATAATCCTATACTAACAGATGATCCAGAGGAAGACAAAAAAAAAACCAGCAAAGCATGATCTAATTTGCTCCTGCTGGGAATAACATTCCTTCCTGATCCGCTGAGAGGCAATCGGATATTCCCTGGATCAACTTTACCTATGAATGTTAGTATCCAGTTATACCTGTGTATCCAAGAAAGAATCCAGGCCTTTTTTTAAAGCAATCCACTGAGCTGGCCAGAACCAACTGGGTACAGACTTGGAATCAAAGCTGGTAACTGAAACAACGATGTGGCTTAGAATGAGCACACAGCTACTCTGCTAGAACATGAGGATGGAACAGTTTTTGATGGGCCTCATCCTCAGCCGCATCACTGCCAAGGAGGAAGATTTCACCTAAACCAGGGATCAGCAGCACAAGGGACACATCACACTAATAGTAAATAATGTCCCTTGTGCTTATAATAAGTTTTACAAAACATAGACTTTAAGCTTGCTGCTCTGCCCCTGACAGACATTCAATCACTGAATAATGTCCTGGCTTTGATTGATGTTTGCAGGATCTTTTCTCTGAGTCATTAGACATTGTTACTCACTAAAGCCCTGCTAAAGTGAGATTTTTGGCCCCTGAAATGCTTTGGATGCCTTTTGTTTTCCATTCGATCACTTGTGGAATCAAATAAATACTTGTAGACTCTAAGAAACCTTTAAATAAACAAAAACCCCAACAGAGATTGCAGTACTATAACTATAAAATAACTCACAATTTTTCTCGGTAAATATATTTCTAAAGGTGCTGATGGCATGAAAGTTTCACCACATGTCGGTAACAACTGATGCAATCCATACATACAAAGAAACCAAAAGAAATACATTCAGAAATGACGTTATGTGTAATAAAATGGAATGACACAGGGAAAAAGTATTGAACACGCTAACTGAAAATTATTTAATGCTTTGTACAAAATCCTTTGTTGGTAATGACAGCTTCAAGAGAAACTAGTCCCATGCATTGCTCAGGTGTGATTTTGTCCAACACAAACAGTCTTTCTTTCTTTGAAACCAATAGAGAGTTTTCTTGTCTTTGTGTTTGGGATCATTGTCTTGCTGAAATGTCCACCTTCGTTTCATCTTCATCATCCTGTTAAATGGCAGCAGATTTTTATCAAGAATGTCTTGATACATTTTTCCATTCATCCTTCCTTCAATGATATGAATTTTGCCATTTGACTCCAAACATTGTGTGTATTATGGCATCCAAAGAGTTCCATTTTGGTTTCATCTGACCGGACAATATTCTCCCCAGTATTTCACTGGCTTGTCTAAATGTTGTGCAGCAAACTTTAAACAAGCTTCAATATGCTTTTTCTTCAACAATGGAGTCTTGCGTGGTGAGCGTGCATACAGGCCATGGTGGTTGAGTGCATTACTTATTGTTTTCTTTGAAACAATTGTACCTTCTAATTCCAGGTCTTTCTGAAGATTTCTACAAGTTGTCCTTGGCTCTTGGACAACTCTTCTGATAATTCTTTTCACTTCTCTGTCAGAAATCTTGTGAGGAACACCTGGTCGTGGCCAGTTTATGGTGAAATGATTGTCAGGGCCTGGACTTGAACCTGGGACTTCTACTGTGTCAGGCAGTAACTCTACTCACTGAGCTACCTAGGATGCTGGACTACACTTTGCCTCATCTATTGGATAATCCTGCCTTGTGCCTTGTTTGCTCTTGAACCTTGAACTCCTTGCTCCTCCCATGAACTTCCTATATAAGCCATGTCCTTGGACTTCCTCCTTGCCAGATTATTGTGCCTTTCCAGCCAATATCCTGCTACTGTTCCTGCTGCTGTCTACACCTCCGCTACTGACCTTTGGCTTGTTCCTGACCACGATTGATCTGCTACCATTTGTGACCGACCCTTGGCTTGTGACCGACTCTGCTTTCGTCTGATCCCTAACCTGTTGATCCGCTATTGGTTCCCAGTCTGCTCATTCCCTGGTGGGGTGATCCTGAGATCTGCGACCTGGTATTAACACGCAGCCCAATCCATCTCCACCATTAGGAGCTCTGGTGAAGACCGGTTAATACTTAGACCCCGCACCTCAGGTGAGCCTACGTCATTCCCAGGGGGATCCGCTGGTGTACCTATCCTGCTGGTTCCAGGTAAGCCTTTTACTGCTATAGCAACTGGTCTCTGAACCTGACCTTACACCGTGACAATGATGTTCTTTCACTTTTGGATTATGGCCCCAACAGTGCTCACTGGAACATTCAGAAGTTTAAAAATCTTTCTGTAACTAATGCCATCAGTATGTTTTGCAAAAAAGGTTGCAAAGGTCTTGAGAGAGCTCTTTGCTTTAACCCATCATGAGATATTTCTTATCTGACGCCTTGGTAATGAGACACCTTTTTATAAGCCATCAGTTAAGACTGAACCAGCAGGTATTAATTTGCACTGACAAGGGTCAGGATTGCTTTCTAATTACTGATAGATTTCAGCTGGTGTCTTGGCTTTCCTTTTACTTTTTGCACTTCGCTTTCTTCATGTGTTCAAAACTTATTCCCCTGTGTCATTTCATTTTATTACACATAGCTTACTTTCTGAACTTATTTGGTTTGGTTTCTTTATATGTATGTATTATATGTGTTATTACTGACATGTAGTGAAAATTGCATGTCAATAGCACCTTTAGAAATATATTTACTGAAAAAAATGGTGCCGTATTCAATACTGATTTTACCCGCTGTATATGTCAACAACAAATCTGATGTAAAACAGACTCTGTCCATGTAATATAGTCCAACTCAAAGTGCCCAGTGCTTGTACTATTCCCAAAAGTTATACATATTTTTATATATATATATATATATGCATGTGTGTGTGCTTTTGTTTTTTGTTTTTTTGACACTGTACTCATTAACTGGTTGACTAGCGCTGCAACCCTATGTCAGTGTCTTAACGTGTGATTTGCTGCAGCGCAATTTTTAAAGTAGTCCTTGCATTACTTTTGCTGCACAAGTAGCAATAAAGTCTTCAGAAATCGCACTTAAAATTGCACACATATTGCGCAATTTTAAATCGCAGTGGTGTGACCAGTGACTTAAGGGGTTTTAATCCCTCACCACTGTATCCAAAACTAAAAAAATCCTTCGACTATAAATCTACTTTTATCATTTGTGCAGCTTAGGCAAAATGATATGCATGTAGTTCATGGGCCACATTTGTCTCAGCTGGTAAAATTCTGCATCTTGAATTTAAAGTATAACTAAACCCTTTTTTTTTTTTTTTTAGTTTTTGATGGAATGGAGAGGGAGTAGAATTTTAACATTTGGGGTGTACCAAATCTCAGAACGCCTTGAAGACCATTAGGCACCACTGCTGCAAACCTCTCCACTGTCCATTCACAACTAAACTGATCCAATTAAAAAGAGATCAGGGTCTTCTTTTCAATCAATACCAACTCTGCCAAGCCAATGGTGGAATTTTGTCAATCACTTCTGATCAAACAAATATCTGCGTGTGTCTCAGAAAGTAAATAATAGTTCAGAATGAATAAATGATTCAATGTTATATAGGTTGTTTACATTTATAACTGATAGATCATATTTTTTAATATTTTTTCTGTTGATCTCAAAGTGTGGGATAATACTCTATGTGTTGCATCATAAATATTTTAATTTTAATTGATAAATAGCTTGCTTATAATCACACATATGTAAATCAATAATACATTTCTACATGTATGGCCACCTTAAGCCTTCAGTGACTAACAAGAATTGAATATATATACAGTGTGACCTATTATTATCGCCTTGCACTCATATTGTATGTTTTTCTATTTTCAGCAATGGATAATTTTGAATATAGTATTCAAATCAATGACCAAGACTGGGAGGAATTTTACTCCACGGCTGAGGAATGTGGCTTAATGCAAGTGTCGTTGGCCTCAGAGGAGGAACTTTTACTGAGTGACACAGAAGAGGAAGATGCCTTATGCTCCACAGTAACTAGCAATCCAAAGTTTCTCCGGGTCAGCTTATGTCCACCAGTGGGGGACCACAGGGAACCCCAGACCATGCCAGTATCCTTTTCTCCACCCAGACATTCAGCCTACAAATGGATAGGTTCAAGTGATGATGTATTGTCTGGCAGTGAGGATGAAGAGGAGTTTGGATCAGTCGCTAGGTTTCTTTGTCAGAAAGAGACTCTATTGTCCAAGAAGGTGGTGACAGAACATAAAACAGGCATTCCAAGTCCAAAACTCAAGGACAACTATTTAACCATAGAAAAATCTCAAGACAGCCCAGTTAATGAAAGTCTTGCAGAAACGTATGAGGTCTCTCAACACAAAGAGGAAATCCCATAATGAAGGGGACAGAGAAGAAATCCAAGCTGAGAGCACAGAAAGAACAAATCCCTCGCCAATTTTTAGTGGAGAGTCAGAAAGAGGGCACCCTAATGGCAGACAATTAATTTCTGTAACTACTAATAATCCATCTAGAACCAATGCGCAGTTACTTTATTTAAAAGATTCACCTGATATTTCAAAGGATAATCAAAGTTGTAAGATTGTAAACAACCCTTCCTTATCAGAGTGTCTACTGAATGGATACATTCCTGGTAGAAATAATACAAAAGAGGATCCTCAAAGGTGTTATTTGCAAAGTCTGACCACTTTACATGCAAGCCTGGAACATTATGACCAACTGACTGCTAAAAATGAAACTGATGACTTCGTAAACACAAATTCAGCACTTCATACAATGGACAATCATGTTTCAACTAAAAATATTTTCAATGCCCACATGATGCAATATGATATCCAGGACTGTATCCTGCACTTTACAACCAAAGCCCCTGGAGATTCCTCAGCCGTGCAGCAAAATATCCCAGTTCCCCTGATTGAAAATTTGGATTTATCCAATACTCAATCAAATATACAGGAGCCTGACACCAGAGTATCTGTGAGCTCACATAAGTTGAGTTTTGACCAGTATAGATTTCCCAGAGCTGAGGGTACAAATCTTGCATGCAGCTTGGTACCTGCTACAATTAGTGGACATACTGGGTTCAGTAGGAGCCTATCAACAAAACACCAGTCACCATCATATAGAAATACAGTTCTCACGCTTCCTGAAATGTATGACTTTTTCTTTGATGATGTTTCAGAATCCGGAATTGTTGAGACTGGAACAGATATGGCAAGTCAAGAAGCAATACAAGAAGCGATCGTATACACACCAGATATGTATGAATATTTCTTTGTGGATGAGGATAAAAATCTTCAAAAAAATAAAGACCATAAATCAGAAGAATCAAAAGTTAATATGGATCAGGCTTCGCCATCTTCAGTTGTTGCCACTTGGCCTGAAGCCTGTGAGTTTTTCTTTGCTGATGGACCTCAGCATCAGGACAGGGAAGGCATCTTATTCAGTATACCACCTGCCCCAAGTGCCACCAAGATTCTCCAGTCTATTGTTCCTGAAAGACTAATAGAATATACAGTAAGACAAGCTTTTCGAAGCAGAGATGGAAAGCTCATTCCTCATGTGTACCATGGGACATCTGAAGAGACAAACAAACCAACAACAGGTACAAGCAATGATGTAACTGCCAATTAATCCTATGACCATATTAACACATTAACACTTCTAAAATAAAAACAGCTTTGTTAATGCTGTCAGGCTTTACTTACACACATGTCTGTTTGCAGGCTCTCTTGTTCCATATTTATCCCCCAGCCGGGAGTGACGCTTGCTTGATGTTTCTAGCTCTTGCATCTTGGGCTGTAAAATCTTCAGACTTGCAGTCTTCAGATGGATGGAAAACAGGTGTGTTCAGAGTACATTTGTTAAATTCAATTATGTTGATTCCTCATAAAGAGGAATATTTGCCACCTGAATATGTAACAGTGGAGAATAAGCCACACAAACTAGGGCAAAGTGACAGTCAAACACTTGTCAACACTGAAGCAATTTTTTTGTGAAATGATATATGTTAGGGCAAACTGCCTGGCTTCATTCTTGTTGAAGGCAATAAAGCAGTAGGTGGCTGGATAAACAGGTACTAATGCTGCTGAAAACCGCTGGTAGCAATAACGCAAGTAGCCAACATATGATTCACAACCCACTGCTTTATCAAACTGAACACAAACTCAAATTTATGAAGGTCTCCTTTGTATTAGAACTTTCTACAACTATTTCAACTTCATTTTTTTTTATTTTAAAACTTAATATTTTAAAATAGAACTCCAGTTGAAATTTATAATATTAGAATCTTAAATTTATGTCTTGCATTCATGGTCTATGGAGTATCTCATATGAATAGCTCAATAAAAAACAATGTAGCAGTACTGAAGATCACTTGAATGGATGATTTGGTAAAATCCTTGCCCCGAGCTTGCTGATTTGCTGATTGGAATGACTGGACATTAAAAGAGCAGCAACACACTGATAACATCATCTCTGCACTCTTCCCTCCTATTATCAAGATTCTACTGTTAATTGTCAGCACTGTACAATACAGAAGAGCCCAATTCACAATTCTATCCTGTCCTCTCTCATTCAGAGTCCTGGTGTGCAGGGGATGATAAGATGTTAAAATAAAGACAGATTTCCGGTACATATATTATCAGCATTTCAAATACAATTTATGATGTTATAATTAAATACTATCCAGATTAAAAGGTGTCCTTTTAAATTTGCCTGGAGATCCGCTTTCAATAGAAATATCTGCCCATAGCCCCCAGCTAGTTCATCCTTCAGTTGTACTTTACATTTCACAATACATAATAATTTCATATATATACAGTGCTGTGAAAAAGTATTTGCCCCTTTCTGATTGTTTTTGCATATTTTCACACTTAAATGATTCAGCTCATCAAACAAATTTCAATATTACACAAAGATAACCCGAGAAAATTCAAAATGCAGTTTTTAAATGATGATTTCATTTATTAATGGAAAAATGCTGTCCAAACCTGTCTGGCCCTATGTGAAAATGTAATTGCCCCCCTTGCTAAATCATGAATGAACTGTGATTGACCACATTTTTTGGAAAGCTGAGTTAAATTTCACTTGCCACACTCAGGCCTGATTACTGCCAGACCTGTTGAATCAAGAAATTACTTAAATAGAAACTGTCTTGCAAAGTAGAGATCTCAAAAAGCAACACATCATGCTGTGATCTAAAGAAATTCAAGAACCGATGAGAAACAAAGACATGTATCAGTCTGGAAAGAGTTACAATGCCATTTCTTAGTCTTTGGAACTCCAGTGAAGCAAAGTGAGAGCCATTATGCACAATTGGAGAAAACTTGGAAGAGTGGTGCACCTTTCCAGGAGTGGCCAACCTACCAAAATTACTCCAAGAGCACAACGATGACTCATCCAGGAGGTCATAAAAGAACCCAGAAAAACATCTAAAGAACTGCAGGCCTCACTTGCTTCAGTTAAGGTCAGTGTTCATGATTCAACAATAAGAAAGAGAACGAGCAAAAATGGTATCCATGGGAGAGTTCCAGGGCAAAAGCCTCTGCTGACCAAAAAGAACACAAATGCTCGTTTCACATTTGACAAAAAACATCCTTAATATCTCCAAGACTTTTGGGCATATATTCAGTGGACTGATGAGAAAAAAAGTGGAATTTTTTGGAAGGTGTGCATCTGGGGTAAATGTAACACAGCGTTTCATAAAAAGAACTTCATACCAACACTCAAACATGGTGGTGGTAGTGTGATGGTGTGGGACTGTTTTTGCAGCTTCAGGACCTGGACGACTTGCTATAATTGATGGAACCATGAATTCTGTGCTCTACCAGAAAATCCTGAAGGAGAATGTCTGGCCATCAGTTCGTGACTCAAGTTCAAGTGCATTTGGGTTATGCAGCAGGACAATGATCTGAAACAGACCAGCAAGACCACCTCTGAATGGCTTAAAAAAAAGAAAATTAAGGTTTTGAAGTAGCCTAGTCAAAGTTTGGACTTACATTCCGATTGATATGCTGCAGCATGACTTTATACAGGCCATTCATTTTCGAAAACCCTTCAATGTGGCTGAATTAAATTAATTCTGCAAAGAAGAGTGGGTCAAAATTTCTCCACAGCGATGTGAAAGACTCATAGGCAGTTATCGCAAACATTTGATTGCAATTGTTGCCGCTAAGGGTGGCACAACCAGTTATTAGGTTTTGGGGACAATTACTTTTTTAACATAGAGCTAGGCAGGTTTGGACAGATTTTTTCCCTTTAAATAATCATTTAAAAACTGTATTTTGAATTTATTTGGGTTATCTTTGTGTAATATTAAAATTTGTTTGATGATCTGAATCAATTAAGTGTGACAAATATGCAAAAAAATCAGCAGTAGAAAAGGGAAGGGATACAATACAAGAGGTGCCATCATCCCTGAAAACGTACAGTGGAGAAGTCCTCTTGTTGATGGGACTTTAAAGGCACAGGTTTATCAAATAGTGGACTAATAGTTCAACAGTTAAAAAAAACAATCAATTTTTATTTATACAACCTTAGAAAAAGACATATGAGTTATAATACAGAATATGGGGGTGTAGTCAAAAGCTGATATTCCAGTAGTAATGTAGAAATAGGTCATGCATGTGTTGCATCTGATGCGTTTCGAGACCAATCACAGTCTCTTCTTCAGAAGTGATCAAGAAGCATGACGCCTACAATAAACATATATATCAATATATATTTCTATACATAGGAATTTTCATCAATATTGATAATATAATTAGCTTAGAATGTAATTATTCACTTATATAGCCCCATATAGGGGCGGGGAGGAATAGAAAAGGACCGCCAAAGGGTTAAAAGACATTGATTTCCATAAATACAGCCAAAAGTTTCATGAGCTTCTAACAGCGATGATGGACAGAAAGAGCAGGGAAGGAAAGTTGGAAACGATAACTGCCGCCCAAACGCCTCCTGGAGGGGCCCCCGCCCAACCATACCAGTGGCAGACCGAAAATCTGTCTGACACTAATATTGATGAGGTGATACTGTGTAAATAAATAATAACACATATAAATATAAATAATAAATATATGCCATCGAGAATGGGACATCACTAAATAATTGGGGCTAAACACACTTACTGGGGGGAAAAAAATTGATGATGAGTTGACATCAAGCAGACTCAAACAAAGGGGAAGAGAAACCACTTCTGGACTATTTGCTTATAACAAATAAAGATAATGGCAGAAATATTCAAAAAAGTGCAAAACCAAACATCAAGCACATATAGTCACTAATGTGCCTTTAAATATCACTGAGATTGTCCAGCAGAGTTTGTGTAAATCATACCCGATTTGCTGTGATATATTGGCATCATGGCTGCATCAGCCATGTGCAGGTTTTTTAAACTTGGAAAATCTCCAACGGACTTAGGGCAATGAGAAGGAAGCAGGAGCGGACCTATCCGTATGTCCGGCAATCATGTCAGCCCCTCCCCGGTCACGAGAGTTGTGCGGCATCACCACACCGCAGTGGTGTGATGACGTCAAGCGTCATGCCGACGACGATGCACGGAGCTCGACCAGCAAGAGGAGAGGCCAGGAAAGAGTGCAAACCAAGCCTCTCTCTTATGGACCAATGCTGTGCCGCCTCCAACGCCTGATCACAATGGCCGCCGACCCCGATGAACAGGGACTGCGGCCCCTGTGCACCGGGGAGACATGAGAGCAACAGATACGTAAACCCAAAAGGGAAGAAAAAGAGGAGAAACAGGAGCAGGACATATTACATGGAAAAAAAAATAGGACTGGTAGGAAGGGAAAAACCAATTAAAGGAAAGAATGCAATGAGAGGTCATGAATGACAATCTTGGCATTAATAAAGAAAAAAATCCTTAAATAAACAACGATATTGTAGAAATATATACAAAAAATGTGTTATATATGTGCAGTATCTTCTCAAAAAAAAAAAAAGGAGAATGAAGCATAAAAGTCAAATCTTTTTCACAACTACCTGACAAATCCCTTCAGGAATGTCTTAAAGGACATGGATTCGTTCAATCCTGGAAAAGAAGTGGCATTTAATTTATGAATCCATCTGAGAACACATTGGAGCAGATTCTTATTCCAGTCGCCTCCACGTGGGCTCGGATGGATCCTATCCAAAATCAAAAATTGCACCCTAGGGAAGACACCCCTATGAAGACCTACTGTATGGTGACCCAGGGGTACCTCCATATTCTTGGACTTCATGCTAGAGATGTGGCGATA